ATACTTATTACCATCAAATATGAATGGGACTCCTCATTCATAAAATTCGTTATTATTACGTGATAACCAACATTCTTTTTTAATATCAATATTTTAATTTATTATAAATAAGCGGTTTGACCCTTTTTGGGAAATTTTGATCATCTTAATTTATTATTATGAAAAAAGAATATTAATATACACATTTATTTTAAATACTATTTAATATAGAGGATATTGATATTCATTATATCGAGTTGCAGTTAATATCTATTGGCTAATTTTAACAGTTCCTTCCAAACAAATTAAAACTACTGCTACTGGATCAATCACTAGAATATTTACAAGAAAAATTATTTAATTATTTACTTACCAATAATTATAATCAATCAATCATTTATTTAAAGTAATTAATTAGTTACCTTTTACACGAACAAAGATTTCAGGTATATTTTTAAGTTTGTCGTCATTTGGTATAAGTTCAGTAATTGTAGAATTGAAGTCACCAGCTGGTATTGGACAAGTTAAAGTGGGTGTGTATTTGACGACGTTACTACAAAAATCTTCTGTTTTTTCTAAAACAGTAACTCCAAATACGGTTGCTACAATATTAACAGTTGTTCCATCACTAATTCCGACTGTGCTTTTTCCAGCTAAATTCATAGTGAGATCTTGTCCAATCTTAATCGGATCTGGAGAATATGAAAAATCAGCAATAGTTATTGGTGTGTTTTCTTGACATAGTTCAAATCCATTATTAATCGCTCTTTTTTCAACCGATATTGATGATGCTGGTATTACACTGGCCGTAGTAAGTTGAGTTATTAATACTAATAATATGGTAAAGATTATGAATTGTTTCATTTTAAAAATTAAAAAATTATTTTCGAAGGCCAAGTTTTTACTTAAAGGGAATTTATTTTTTAAAAAACTCACAGTGGGTGGGCAAGTGAACGAACATATTTTATTTATATAAAATTCATTTTGCTGTGAAATTGGCGTATCCTTGTTTGGGTTGTAAACAATTGGATTGGTTGTCGAGACATTATTTTTAACCACATTTCTATAATAATAATATCGGAGCTTACAATCAATTATTACTATTGTAGTAATTGATAATAACTATAATAGTTATTATTATCATTATAATAATTAAATTGGTAATAATGGTAAAAACCATTATTGAGCACTAACCTTACAAAAAGAAAAAAACAATTTTTAATATATGGAAGACATACTTTTGATATTAATATGGAATACAAAGACACATTTACGAAATACGGAATATTTTTGGGGCCGTGTTTTCTGTACAGTAATAGTAATAGTGAAAAGTGCATTTTTCGGATTAGTATGTATCAGTATTAGTATTCAGTACATAATTTTTTATAGGAATTGAAGCAAAATCATAACGTGAAACAAGATTCTCTGAAACAAGGATTTTTCATTGGATTAAATCTATTAGATAGTATATAAATCAGATTCGAACCAAATCAAATCATGATTTATTCATTGGATTAATTTATTTATATATATTTTATCAGTAGTGATATTAGCCAGTTAAGAAATTTATCGGCTTAGTCGGCTTAGATGCTTAGTCGGCTTAGATGGCTTACACGGCTTAGCCGGTTTATATGGCTTACACAGCTTAACCGGCTAATGAATTTTTAAACGGCTTAGCCGGTTAAAAAAAATTTCTCTTGACAAAAAAAAAATACATTTGCTCAAAAAACAAAATACAATACATTATAGCAGGATAAAAGTCATAGTTAGAATTATTCGTTCTATTCGAATTCTTCTAATTCTTCATTTATTCGAATAAACTTTCAACGTAATTCGAATACTCAAATTCATAATGAATAAAACAAATCATTCGAATAAACCTTATTCGAACCATTAAAGACGAGATATTATAATAACAATAGTAAATAACAGTGACAACAATTAAAGTAATAATAACGATAGTAATATTATAATAATACCGGCAAGCTTGAAAATTTTTTTCATCAACTGGAATTTGTTTAAGTTCTTAGCCGGCTAATTATCAGTTATATATTTATTCGAAACGAATCGAAAATTAGGTAATTCAAATTTCATTGGTTCGCTCAGAGCCTTAATACTACTTCGACTTGAATACCAAATAGATAAATTTTAAGATTATAGATCCTACTTTTGTGCTTAATACTACAATAGCATGCCTTCCTTTACCTTCCATCCTTGAATAAACCAGTTTTCTTTGTTTTTTAACTAACTTGGTATTTTTGTTATAATAATTTCTTCCTAACCTGGCTTTCTTGTATTTAGAAAGTCTTCTACTTCTTTCTCCATATAGTTTTTGTAATGCAAGCTATTTCGAAGATATTGACAAGTATCGCACAAATCAGTTGTTGGATCAGGTTTTAAATTGTCCGTTTCAGTGATGCCGAAATTATGATGATGTACCGAAAATAGTTACGGTTAACTGAAACCTAATGTCAAATTATTTCCATTTCAAACTACAGGATTTCGTTGTGCATCACTGGTGTGTTCATTCTTATGATCCATCATCCATTGCTTTAAGTTTGGTCATCAAAAATATGCCTTTTCTGGTTTGGTAATCATTTGCTTTTTTGTATTCATTGGAGGCATTATTGTTGTTCTTCACATACATATAACCTTATATATATAAATTTTATTTAAAATACTAGATTCTGGTATACAACGAATTAAAAGAGATTCTTGTGTGCATCTTGTCAAGAAGAACATTTGAGCTTAGAAATTAAATCTACTACTTCAACGTGACATGTCTCGTAAATTGCCACTAATGAATTCCAGTAATCTTAGCAACAACAATAACAATAACAGTAGTAGTATCACCATTAGTATTAGCAGAAGTCCAATCAATCATTATGCGTTATCTCCACCTTCTAATGACTCACCTTAAATGTAA